CCACACACCCACACACCCACACCCACACCCACACCAGCACCCCTTCTTGGGTTTTTTTAATGAGCGTTAATGGCTCACATCGCGGTTTCATTTTGAGCGTTTAAACGCGTTTTTCCAAATATTTATCTGCTTGAGTAGTCTCTCTATATTCGATGAGAGAAGAGCACGATAAGTTTGCTATTTTCGAGACGGAAAAGGTACATTTTGGGTGTGGGTGTAAATGTGAGTCTTTTATTCAGTCACTGCCACACCCATCAGCCACCCACAACTCACACCCACACCCTAACCATAAATCCGACTAATTGGTTATGATAAAATGGTCAATTTTTACGCGATTATCACCACATAGGAAAGTTTAAAAATAGTATTTTCTTCTTTAATTGTTTTTATATAAAATAATCAAACTTTAAGTAATTATTGAGATTATCATTGTCGGTAATATCTTCAAATATGACTAGTTAGTTAAAAAGAATCGATGCATTACACTGTAGTTCGATTAAACATTTAACTTCTTATCAACAATCAAAATTGTACAGTACACTGAGCAATGTAACTATATTATGCGTCTGATTTATTAGGCAAAGTTTCTCTTAATATTCAATAAAGTCTATTTTTATTTTCAAAAGAGTTCAATAATGATCATTGTAAATTGTTTCGAAGAAGCATTCTATGATAAGCACCACGTCGCTGTATCAGTTCTGTATGAGTACCACTCTCCATTATACGTCCTCTATCAAGTACACAAATCAAATCACATGAGCGAATAGTTGAAAGACGATGAGCAATAATGAGTAATGTTTGACTAGAATCTACTGTTTGAACTTCTTCAAGAGCTTTTTGTACAATCTATTATTGAAAAATTAAGATATAACTATAATTAATAAATAGGAAAAAAAACAAACTTACTTGTTCATTGTGTGAATCCATGGCACTTGTAACTTCATCTAAGAGCAATACTTTAGGTTGACGAAGAAGAATTCGAGCAATAGCAATACGTTGCTTTTCACCACCTGACAGAAAACTGCCTTTCATTCCTACTTTTGTTTCATAACCCTGAAAAAAGAATATCATACAATAGTAATAGAAACATGATATAATTTTGTATTGTCTAACCTGAGGTAATTGTTCAATAAATTGATGAATATTAGCTTTTCTTGTTGCATTGATAATGTCTTCCATTGGAACATTTTCTAAACCGTATGCAATATTTTCAGCAATTGTTAAATCAAACAAAATTGGTTCTTGACTGATAAGACCGAATTGAGAACGAATCCAATGAAGATTTAAGTGTCGAATATCAATGTCATCAATAAGCTAGATTAGATAGAGAAATTTTATATGATTATTTAAACTATACAATGAAGAAATACTAACTATTCCACGACTTGTAACATCATAGAATCGTTCCAATAGTTGAATAATTGTTGATTTTCCACATCCGGATGTACCTATATGGATCATATTACATAATTAAGATATAAAGTAAACATTTAATTCAAACATACCAACAAGAGCCACACGTTCATCTTATCAATGAATATAAATTTATAAAAGAAATGATGCAATCGAACTCTATCTGACTTACTTGCCTTGATATTGAATTGAAATTTTTTAAGAATAATAGATGTTGGCCGAGTTGGATAGATAAATTTGACTTGGTCGAATTTTATCTCTCCACGAAAATCAACCTACGTGAGTGATATTAAATCCATTGTATGTGCATGATTGAAATAAAATAACTATTTTCAATATTCTCTCACCAGTTCTTGTCCTTCAGTAGATGTATTGTCTATTGTTGGTTTTCGATCAAATAAATCAAAAAACGTTTTAGCAGCCGAGATTGATGCAGCAATACAACTGGATCTAGAACGGAGATAGTAGAAGTAGAAAAAACATAAACTTAAGATAGAGAGTATTACAGTATTCCGATGACTCTTAATGCTCGTGTCGACGAATTAGCAAAAACAAACATCCTAATAAATTGAAAAGATAGGGAAGCATTGTTTCTAAATTATCAACTGTAGCTTCAATTACATTATGACATGGTTTGCAACTAGTTCGTTCTTCTCAAAGAGGACGAGAGCACGCCAACACACAAATGCCAAAGTGAATATATCTAGTGCACTGTATATGCCATATGGTATTGACTCTACTATCCAAGGTTTCCAAGACAATCTATGATAAAATAAGATGGATTAAAAATTTATACATGTATAAGACTCGATTGACTAACATAAATAATTCATGAATAAGTTCAGAATATTGTCTTAATACTTCTCTTTCAATTGACAATTGTTTTACTATACGCATATTGTGAATAGCTTCAACAACAAGCTACAGAAATAGGAGATAGAATGAATTTAGTGTATCGAGTTCGATAAACAACTGATGATTAAATAATTTTCCATATAAAAAGAAAGATTATCAGCTAAAACGTGATCTTACCATGCTTGCTCGTCCAATAATGTGACTAGATTGTTGGGTCATCTGTAGACGTAAACGCACTTCTCCATAGATGACTAGGAAGAAGCAAAAAAGAGGACCAAAAATGATCAATGTTAATTGCCAATTTATGAAAGATCCAAATAGAATTCCAAAAAAAGACAATGCGAAAGCTTCACAGATGATTCCTAATCGTGTACCAGTCATCTCTTGAATGGCTAATGCATCAGAAGAAAGACGAGCACAAATCGCACCAAATCTATTCTCAGGTCGATCGAAGTAAGCAACTTCTTGACGAAGAAGACATGCAAAAGCTTTCGAGCGAATACGTTGCGTCAGTTTTGATCCTGCTATAGCAAAAGCTGTATACTATAGAAAAAAATGAATAAATCGTTGATCAAACTCAGAAGCAGCATTTTTACTTGAAAGAAACGTAGAATCCATACAAGGACACCCAAAAGCAAAAGCAACAAACTAGTAATCAGCACATGACGATGTCGTTCAGATGTTGAACAATATTTGAATGCCTACACAATAAACAAATCAATGTAGAAACGATATACAGTAAAACCTCCCTTAATGAACACCTCCTATTTGAACACATGTCTCGGTCCCCCCAATCGATTATTGCTGTAAATGGACCTCTATATAATGAACACCTCCCAACTCTGAACAATGAACACTTTTTTTTTGATCTCTTCAGCAAAGAAAACCTCTATATAATGAACGCGAGTTCAACAACATATACATGTATGTGTGAGAAAAGAGGAAAAACAAAACACCATGTGCATTCTAAAGAAATGCTAAGTCAGTTCGTCCGCGATCTATTCATTGCAGAAAACGAACAAAAGAAAATCAATAGTCCGCGACGCACTGTTCTGAAATAAATTGATCATGCACCTGTAACGCAAAAGCCCACTTGTTTATTTGCAATAAAGAAATGATGACGAAGTGTACATTGACCCTTTCAGAAGAAATTGCGTAGCTGGGCTTGCAATGCACTCAACTCTACTAGGTGGGTAAAAATATTATTCCATGGGGGTAACGCTATGATTTCAAATAGCAATCATAACAAATTTTATACCAAATTAAAGCGCGTCAAAAAGCGGAATTTAGCAGTACTAAATAGTAAGGGATATGGAAACTTTTCTATGTTGAACTGAACCAATTTTTGAAATATAATGGCGATACTCTGTAAATAATGAATCATTTGACCAGAATGGAATTGTTTTTCCTACATATATCCGTCGATTTATCAGTGTTATAAGGATTCAACGTGCTTCAAAGCTGAAACTACGATTATTTTTTTGCTTTCTATTGTCTTTTATCTCTCTAAAATGTGAATAACGATGTATTGGAATTATACTAGAAAAGATAAAACAGTGCACATTTATATTCTTCTAAGTGACTTGCTCGTTTGCACTCATTTTTCGTTTCTGTTCTTTCGCATAGTATTAATGTTATAGAAGAAAAATAATTTTCTTTCTTTTTCCAAGAATAATGACTCATGATAGCAGTTAGTCAACATTATTTTTTCTCATTCCTATTTTATCTTAGAAATTTCTCGAAAAAGAATTTTAAATGTTCGTAAGACCTTATATAAAGTTATTAGTGATAGACAAACTCTATAAATAGAAAAAATATACCAAATTGATTGATCAGTTAAATTTATTAATTGAAAATGGTTGGTACTTACGACAACGAAGAGCAAAGAATGGTAGATAGAATTAAATGCATCGGTTTTCGTGAAGCTCGCGATGAGGGTGCAACATTTATTAAACGACAATGGATTGCACAGAAAATTCATCGAACTACTCGATTTGTTACTGAGTGGTGGGAGAAATAATATGATGAATGTTTTGCTGATTATTCGAAATCTGGTCGTAAACTGAAGTTATCAGAAGCGAGTAGAAATATCATTCGGAACGCCAGTGGCAAACAAGGGAAAAGCTCTTATATTGTGGCGAAAGAAATTGCAGAAAAGCAAAACGAATATGTTGTTCGAAAAACCATCGATAATTATCGTTCCAGAGAAGGACTAAAGCCTTTTCATGTTATTCAAAAACCGTTAAAAACAGAAACTCATATTTCTAATCGATTGTGGTTCTGCGATTGGTTAAAAGACTGGACTAAAGAAGACTTTCTACACCTTGCGCCATCAGATGAATTTTATGTCCGGATCGTTCGCAGACCAAATTATCAAAATAATCGAGTCTGGGCAAAAAGTATTGAAGATATAGAAGACGATGAAAGATATCGTGAAACGTAGCTTCTCAAAAGAGATACTTTTTAATTAAACATTTCGCTATTTAAAGAAAGTTTCGGCTATTTAAAATTCTTACAAGAGATACTTTTTAATGAAACGTTGCTATTTAAAAAAGATCTTAACTATTTAAAAGCTTTGATATTGATTTTTTCGTACTTAGCCAGCAATTTTAACAAAATACCAGTGGCACTGAATTATTTAAATAGATGTATAACTCTTTGTTTTACATTCTAATTTTTTTCATCTATAGCAGTCCTAAACTTCATCCAACAGGGTAGAAGAAAGACTGAATTAAAAGAAATTATTCCAGATGTTTAAGAAAGTAACAGAACATGACCGATTGTTAGATTTTTTCATCATCTATCAATTAAGTAATATTGTGCCGGAACAATATTCATCATTAGTTACAGAAGGTTGTGTCATACTATAGTCAAAAGCATTTGCTTCCTGTTTGAATATCTGTTGTTAATACAAAATGTTCCTATCTAATGTTTTAAATACAATCGCCGTTTATTTGAATATTTGTAAATCTCTTATAAATAATATTCTAGTCAAAAAACTGAATCTAGATCACAGAATAACGAATAAACGAGATTTTACATGCATACACACTAAGATAAAATGTGTCGCATGTGTCGTACTTTGCGACACAATGTGCGACACATTAATATGCGACACGAGGAGCTCGTTGCGACACATTTCTTCCAGCGAACGTACGACACATTCTTGTGCGACACATTCTTAACACGTGGTTCGAATCCATTTTTCCGCACGAGGATTTTTTTTGAAAATTCGAATAGTTACTATTTTTCCAATTAATTTCAAATAGTAGCACCTATTCTTGGAGCTTAAGACGGTAGATCTTAAGATCTACCTGTCTCGAGACCATTTGATCTCGATCAGACTACTTCAAGGCAATCCATTATTGATCATCTAGCGACCTCTCGACATGTTCTCGAATAACAAATGGTCGAGATATAATCTAAAAAAAAGGCATACAAAAATGTATAAGTCAAGTACATCCAATAGGCTCGATTATATTCAGCTGTACTTGCGAAACAAAACGGTGAATGAACGATTGACATATAGGCTATGACACATCTATAATGCGACACATTTTTGTACGACACATTTTTATAATGGAGTCTGCGACACATATATACGACACATTTTATTTTAGTGTGTATTCTACGGATGAATACTTGTTGATAATGTTGATAATTATACAGTTGATAATATATCAATCTATAAAATGATCGTATTCACTTCGTTCAGTTTTTTCTATGCTTCAAAAAAAATCAACAGTTTGAAATAAATTGTTAATAAATTTTAAATATCTATAAAGACTTTTGACAGTACGAATAAAAGCAAATTTCAATAGCTGATTACTTCAAAAGACTTCTATTGAGTTCACAAACATGGACTTCTAATTTTCTAGACACTTCTAAGCCTTCAACAAATTCAAATGACTTTATGAGGTATATCAGTACTTCACAAACTTTCACGTTTTAAACCTTTGCTCTTTTTTCTACAAAATTTTAAAAAATCATAGTTGTAGAATTATATAAATATTTAGGAAAACCAGGCATACATAACTTGATGATGATATCTTGTAAATAACTCACAACCATCTCGCAATCCCTCCTCTGAAGAATAAGTAAGGTACAATGAATATTTGAGGAAATATCTATTACTGCTGATAATGAAGTATTCTTTTTGGTGCTTATAGGAATAAACATATAATAGTCAGTAT